GGGAATTTTCGAAATACCAACCAGATTTTCCAAAAATCTCATCAAAAACTAATTTTTGCAAAGGATTTTGAAAAGCTCTTTCCGATAGAACTATGTATCCTCGTCTTAGCTGTCGCATGGTGAAAACCGAATGTCTCTCTCTTGTCTGTTCCCATCAAAGTCACTCAAAAAACATCCACCGGCATTCTTTTTTGAAATAGGTAATAGTTTTGCTATCCCACCATTGAAACCTTCGGATTGTCGATTTAATAGCCATTGCACTAACTGCGACTGTTTTTTGTCATGTACTACATCATGTAAACGATTCATCAAATATAACGATGCAATAGCACAAAATGTCGAACCACCTATCAAAAAAACGAACTTTAAAAGTGTATATAAAAAATATGAAGCAATAATTGACTTACCATGAGCTTCAGCACCGGGTACTTGACCAAATGCACCTTCATAAGTCTAATGAGAAAGATAAATGATCAGCAAACATTTTGATGGATAATATACAGAGAGTACACACTTTTTCGAGTATGAGTACGAGTACGAGTACAAAACAGTTTTACTCGAGAATGTATTCGAGTACAAATTTTTTTAAAAAAGAGGATTGTCGCTGAAAAACTTTTCGTGTGACGATAGTTTATCGATCAATCTCTTCGTTTTTTTAGTTAAACAGATTTTCATCTGGGTACTCGAGTACTTTTTCGAGTACGCATTAAAAAAAGTCGCGAATACGAGTATGAGTACGAATGGGTATCTAAAAATTTGTACTCGTGTATACTCGAGTACGAGTATTTACTCGTACTTGTCCATGTCTGATAATATGAAACGAGTCGAGCAAGATTTAACCGTTATGTTACATTGAATATATTTAGAAAGCAAGAACTTCACTATATTTTCAACAGGTCAGCCACTAGTCGAACAAAAAGAATTAGTACTGACTACATTTCAAATAACAAAACGCATTGAACACTAATTGTATCATAGTCAATTATGGAGAAATATATAAAGCGAAAAAGAAAATATAAAATACCAAACAATTTTTAATGTAATCGGTACATGTATCTGTATTTATTCCACTCCAATCATCAAGTAGATAAGATATGCAGCATGCACAATAAATAAAGCGTAAATCGCTCTCAGACGATAACACTGAAGCTACAAAGCTAAACAAAAAGAGCAAATGCGTTAATTAATTATGACAATATATATTTTAATTCTATCAACCTTCCATTGTCTAATTGTAAATATTTCATTGTCGAAATAATCGCTTGTCTATTAACTCTTGATAGATCATCTCCTAGTATAAGTAGTGATACAAGGGCGGTATATGTCATTGTTATGTGAATGTGATCATAGGGATTTGAGCATAATTCATTTTTATCACTAGTTGATGTTATAAAACAAGATGAACCACGATATCCACATGGTATTTCATTCTCAATAGATGATGATGATAATTGTAAACGATAAATCCATTTAATTGTTTCATTTTTATCATTTGGTGTTAATTTCTGATCTAAACTAGATAATAATTCTAAACCGGCTAAACCGTAGAATAATATTGTCATACGACTTCCATCTAATGATGATAAATGATAAGGTAATATGCCTAATGAACAAGAAAAATACTTGACATGTAAATTAAATTTAAAATTAACATTTGATAGTGACATGATCTGAAATAAACATACGATGGTAATTCAGCAACTTATAGTTTGTTATTTCTATGAACTGTATGTAAAAATAGCGATATCTAAAAAAGGATTAATGGACGAATTAAAAATATTTCCCATTTTTCAAAAAAACATAGTTGTGACGAATGACCTCTTTATCCACGTAAAGAAGACATAGCAGACAAATCGCACTCTTTATCCGCAGTCTTTTGCACTAAAATCGATTTCTTTCTTACTTTAATCGATTTTGTCTTGTTCTTGCTGATAGTCATTCTTCTTGGTTTTTCGAACTCATTCAAAAAGTTTAACTATCTCTAAGATTTCGTGCATTATACATTATTTTCCTTTTATAAAAAAAATAAAAGGTTACAACTTCACAACAATTTAAAAATAATTTAAAAATACATGGAATATAATTTCAAAACTACGATTAAAATAAATAATGAACTAATATTCTTCGTCAACATATTTGATTTTTTCACCAGTTTTTGTTTCATAATAGTTGGATAAATCATTTGATATCTGTCGTGTATCCGTTTGTCCATCAAATAATTTGATATTATATTCTATCATCATTTCCTCAGCTGGATTTACAAGAATTTTTGCTTTTGCCGTAAAAGACCATATTGTGTAAAGAATACTAGCTGTTAAAACAGAAAATGTTGATAATATTACATGATAACCAAATTGTTCCATAAGTGGTAAACAAATGAGCAAAATATAACGTAACATATCAAAAAATTGATTTAATGACCATTGAGTACCACCAACAAGACCTCTTACATCAGCTGGTACACACTCTTGTTGTAATTGATTGACAGTTAAATCAGCTATCCATAAGCCTAAAATGAATCAAGAAATATTTGTATATACAATTGTAAGAAAATTCTCACAAAATTTTTATTCTTTTTCAAAATGTTTATTTACCAAATCTGTTGAATGTAATACCAATAGTCAGTAATAGAACAGATAATGATGACTTTGAACAGACAATTGTTGTCAATATTGTAGATGTTTCATTGCTTACTAATTTCAGGGTATCATTCTTGTTGTTAACAGGACATAAAGCAAATGATTTATATTTGAATGGATGAAATACTGTACCAGGAACAAACAATGATGCTAGACATAATAGCAAACAAGCATATTCACACCAAAAACCAACAATTCCTGTTCGAACCAAGCCAATACGTTTTATAAGTAATGGATAACAAATTGTTCCCAAAACTCCCATAAGTGAGCCAATACCGTTAAAACCACCATAAAAAAATTCAGATAGACCTTGTTTAATAACAAACGCTGAACAAACAAATAAAAGTTGTAAACATAGATTTTACATTAAAACTTAAATATTGCAACATTTTCGGAGTATTTACCATTTGTTACAGAATCAAAACTCAATACCGTAAAGTAGAGTAATGCTAATGCTAATCCTGGATACATTGTCGACATTTTATAATAAGTTTTAAAGCCTTTAACAGACGTTATTAATCTAAAATTGAAAATAATAAGAAACAACGTCATTTTAAATATATTTGACTTCACTAATTACTGTGTAAATGGTTTCATACGAATTGATTTTTTCTCAATAATTTTATTTGAAAGTATGGATTCTGCTGATTTATAAACTTTCGTGTAAAGATATAATTCGATGAATAACGATATCACATTCCAACTTGATATAAGTAAAGCGCTAGCCCAACGTGAAATAAATGCCATTATACCACCAGCAACCAACGGTGCCAAAACATTTGTCAACAGATCGATACGTCTCATAGCTGCATTGGTTACTAGAGCAAATCAACAAGAATAGTAGAAAATTTAGAAATCACAAGAAACATGTAATGTACGAGCTAATTTTTGTTGATTATGACCGTATATTGCCACAATCCAATCTTTAGAGATAGCCACTTTTGATGCAATGCTAGCCAATGTTGCAAATACACCAAGAAATATTAACAATACTAAAATTAAAAGATAATTTTAAAAAATACTATGTTAAAAAAATTCACGTTAATATTGTATGCCGGTACCGATAAAATCTTTTGTATAAGTCTTGAAGAAACTCAGAACCTTATGGATAACCAACTATCAGATTTTTCTTCTACTCAACATAGTGTAATATGTTTTTCAAGAAGTTGTTTGGTTTGTTTGTTTTTCTTCGATTTACCTTGTATGAAGAGTAAAAAATATCCCTTCCATACAATCTCTAAATGACTTTTATATAATAAAGCAAAAACAACTATGCCAGCCATTAATGCAACAGATAAGTTTTGAACATATAATGCTTTTCGTACAGCTATAATGATCAAACAACAAAATGGACTCTTATTTCAATTTTTGCGATGTAATGCACATTTTCTAAGTACCTCCAATTCTTGGTGTTTTATCAACCCAATCTCCGATAATTGATGCAAATAAAATAACTGCTATGTTAATAACAAGACCATTTAATGCTACCATTTGTAAATTACCATCATTTAATGTAATAAAATAAATAGCAACTGCAAATGACCACATACGATCGCCCTAAAAAAGAAAATCTTCATTTGATAGTGAATACAATTATATACTCTTGTTTTTTCAATAAGGTAGGGATATGGTAGGTTTGCTTTGTGTTTTATTTAGATAGAGAGATCTAGTTAGTACTAACCAGAAGAAAACGTTGATTGTAAATTCTTCCTTCTCATATCGCTTACCCATGATGATAATGAGTGTGCTGTATATAATAAATAACGAGTATCTAAATGAACAAAAACATTTTCCACACCCTCGTCTAAGTAATTAAGTTTACAAGTCTTACTACTCTTTTTCTTCACTGGTTTTAACGTTTCTCCATTTTCAATATTCATTACTGTTCTTCCGATATTCTTTAATAAAAACAGCCTATGTACACATCTAAAATTTGTTTAAAACCTACACAGCCAAAAGAAGATTATGTTTATGAAAGATTCCGTACTCAGTATAATAAGTCTTTTTTTCTCAGATGATTGATTTTACAAGCTGAATAATGTTGTCATTGAAAGGTATATGTATTTCTCAAGTGCAAATAATGAATATTTTAATGATTGTCACCATTACCTTTGTCGATCGAGTAGGACGAAACAAAGAAGTATACTATTCAAAATGAAATGTAGTTTTATACGTGCATGCATACCAAAATGAGACAAAATGGAATGTGCTGTAAACTACACGCTGACAATATTAACTGATAAACCAGAAATAATTGAGCATTTTTGTTTAAAGTTTTCACCTACTTCTACTCGCAGCAAAAGTGTTGTTCTTCGCTGGATAAATGGAGAATTTAATTCTGTACAAAATAGCGTATCTCATTTCACAATCGAATTAGAATTCTATGGATAGTATCAGATATACGAAAAGTTCTTGCTTTAGAAAAAACTCCTGTAGCAGAAGTCAAATTGTTGATCCTGTGTCATTTCATATTAAATTTCAACAATTTATTGCCTAACCAAATTCTATGTTCTGGATTCAAAGGTCCTGAGTTATCACTTTTCATTCTTAATATAAGCCACAGTGCATTGCTATTAAAAATACGTGATAATTTGAAATTTTATCAATATTTCTATCAAACTTGAAAATGAAAATTTTCACACACAAAAAGGTATTAAATTTCAAACTCTGTTAAACTGTACTAGCCGTAAAATGAGTTAACAGATTCTATTTAAAAAAATGTAATTATCACTTAAACTTGATAGACAAATGCACGAAACTGTTTTATTCGAGTTGTTCAGGTAATCAAATTTGATCTCAAAAACGTTTATTTTGTGAAAGGACGATGTAGAATTTTATGAAGAATTCTTTCATATATTTTGTTTTATCAAATTAGGCTGTTAAGATAGAGTACAAACGAAAACAGTGCTTTTTTAGAGGGAATAATTTTTAAAACGAAAGCATTTTGTAATTCTCATACCATCTCTTTAAATCCAATTAGACTGTAAAACCGAAGACACCACTTCGGAGAAGATTCAATTCTCTATCTTTTCAGCTCAGAACAACACTTTTAGTGCTAGTAGAAGTAGATAAAAAACCTGTAAATAAAATTGGCCAGTTGTTTCTGGCCCACTCGTTATTTTAAGCTGCAAGTTAGTTTAAATAAGCCTACCTTTTTTTCCAATAATGAAGGTATGGTGAAAACAACTTTATTAGTGATACTTAACTATGACTTTAGATTAAAAAAACCATAAAATAATGATAATTTAAAATATGCCTCACGGAGAACAAGGTTAAAATCTACATTTAGACACTATAACTTAGAAAATAACTGATGTTCTTTTTTTCTTATTTCTCAGTACAGAAGTACGCGTTTTTAAGTCAAAACTTGACTACTGCTGTAATTACTAGGTAAATACTTAGGATTATACTGTCGGACTTGCTCAAATTTGTTTATAAATGATAAAGCGTAAGTTTTGATCAGAATGAAATAAATTTAAAAGAAAAAAAAAACAGAAGTATATTTTTTTCGTTTTAGGAAGAATAGCATGCGATACACTTTAGAAAGTGACCTTGGATAGATAAAAGTATTTCATATTCATCTGTGCAACAAAAAAAAGCCTCATATGATACAAGAGTACTTCTATTTCTTATAAAGATAAAAAGAAAGATTTGAGGACGAAGGATTTATTGATTAACATTGTAGCTTGAACTATATGAATGTTACATACATAAACCGTACATTTAGATTAAAAAAATAGTAGAATGGAGATTCAAAATGACAAATAATCATTCCGCCACTCAATATCACCAAAGATTCTAATCTTAGTTATGAATTTTACAATTACATTCAGAAAAGACAGTTCAGCACCTTTTTCATGCGCTCATGTTTCTTCAGAAATTCAAGTAGTACCTTAACCTTTGATCAATTTCGTCAAAAAGTTCAAAAAGGTGGGTTATAATCGTTACAACGGTGAGGATAAATGGACTATACAAATGAGTACAACAACTTCTTACAAAATAATAATCATCTAATTTTTGTGAGACAAAAAACATGAGTGCCGGGATATGTCTAAGGAAACAATAGTATTCAACACACCTACGTAATCCTAGGTTCAATTCGCACTGGATAACCACGAAACTACAGCTATCTCGTTGCGGTCATGAAAACCAAATTAATCACTCTCTAAAATTTGGACACGTAACACCGACGAAAAACATGACAACTACTTTGTGTTGACATACGTGACCACAGATATACAACAACAAAGGGAAAAGTTATACTGATTGTTAATTTTATTGTGCTTTAATCTTTTGTTCTGTATATTGAAAAACTCGAACATCGTTTCCAACTGTTCGTTGTTGAATAAATATTTTAAACATTTTGAGAAATGATGGTATAATTCTCTCGTGTTTCAATCGAACAAGGTGTGGAAATGCTTTTCGAAAATATTCAGTAGCTTCTTCTAGATGATAATGTGGTACTTTCGTAAATAAATGATGTATTTGATGAGTACCAATTGAGTGTATAATCGAATGAACATGACCATAGTGTCTGTCGACAGTTGATAATTGACCTTGAACATAATCCCATTCATCATTTGAATACCATGGTACGTCAATTTCAGTATGATGTAAAAATGTAATTATAACCATATAACAGCCGAATATAAATACAGGAATTAAATGATAGCAAATTAATGCCAAATAGCCGCATGATTGAGCATATAAATACCTGAAATCGAGAGAGAGAGAGAAAAAGAATATACCGAAAATTTATCAAGGTATGAGGTGTATATTTACATGACATAAAACATAAATCCATAGCCTATTAGTGAGGATGTGACGCCAACAATATGTTTTTGGAACATTGGATGGAATGGATTAAAATGATTTATCTTACGTGGAGAATAACCGAACACTAAATAGTAGAACCAACCTATCCCAAACCCAAAATATGGTACTCCGGCGGAGTTTACAGCGTCAATTACATATGTCTTGTTTGTGGATAATTCATCATCAGTAGTTATTAAACGTTGCGGATAAAAGACTTCATCTTTATCAATATTGCCTGTATTTTTATGATGTTTATTGTGCGTGACTTTCCATGGATAGTATGGAGCCAATATGAAGGTATGTAAAATTGTACCTAAGGAAGAAAATAAAAGAAAACATCACTTTCATGCGTAGGTGAAAAATCTCATTTATCGTGACTGTAATATATGGGTGAATCCATGGGTATCCAACCACTTTTTTGGAAAAAGTGTTTTTATCGGCTTTTTTCGTTCTAGTTAGCTGGGGCATGGTCAGAAAACAGCTCCAGATCTTCCTCATTTAAGGTGAAAGTCAGCGAAAACCTTAGCGAACGAAAAAAGCCGATAAAAAAACTCTTTCCAAAAAGTAGTTGGATACCCATGAACCCATATGTGAGGAAAACTTGATAAGAGAAAAATATACAGACTGAGTAACCAACTTCTATGATACTCCACTGAATCTACGCTATCTACATTCAATGATATAGACTCTTGTTTTCCCTCTGTAACCGTAACTACTATGCTTTTAGTAAATTAGTGTACAGAAAATATCATCGTACGTCACTTAAGGGTACCCCTTCGCTCTTTTTGGGCTTTCTGTAGAAAGGCTGTGAAATAAAAACTATAAGTCACAAGGGCGTAGTAT